ATCTGTGGGGTTGGTGTGCAGGGGAACGGCCTTTGGGGCGCAGTCGTGGAACTTCTTCAATGGAAACCACATGGCTTTAGATGGGCAACCTCTGGGTGGTCCAATCAGCATCAAGAGGACATTTACTGACACATATGTCTCTAGCAATTGACTTCAACCCTGTGAAACATTCGCTTTTTATTCGTCTTTTTTGAGATGTTTCAAAATGTGATTTAGTGGAAGACATTAGCAGTTAATTACATGATGCCATAAATGAATTGCAAGCAGGTTGCTTTGGGTTTCCCAAGGGCCTTTGTGGCTTCTTTGACAACTTAATCAAGCCAACTTTTATGGTACTTGAGATCTTCTGAAAAACAGAGTTGTAATAGCCAAAACAAAAATCGAATAAACACTAATAACATTTGAAATAAATCGATAAATCTTTTCAGACAATACAGAGTTGTTAACATCTCCCCAGGCCTCAAGGTCAGAAAGAAAACAGGACTCACAGAGTTCACCACATCTAACCCCAGTCACTAAAACGTTGCTAATCTGCATCACAAGAACAGCAATCATCTCACTTCAGTGGCTTTCCGACCAAAAGCCCTCTCGGCCCGCAACAATCTGACATCATTGTCTGCAGACTCTCCAGAACTTTTGTGGTGTGTAATTCCAGAGCAATGGGAAAATCCCTTCCCTCCAACTCGGAAGTGAGCGTGAATAAGCAACATTTCACTGGGTCAGCTGGTTTCATGTGTAACTGACTATTTTTTCAGCAGAGACACACACTAAGATGCTTTAGAGCACAGAGGGAGGCTAATGGGAAATGTTAAGCTTGGATATTATAAAGCCTAAATGATATTGCATATTTATCTACAGGATTATTCTATTCTAAATGAAAGCATTAACAATGATACTGGGCAACTTTTGATAAAAATATCGATGACATTGTGAAGTTTTTTTGAAGCCGTCGCTGTGTTAATGCTCGAGTTCACAATCTGCAGTTGATCCCATTATCTCCATTTTAGTAACAAGTTGTTTGGATTGCAGTTGGCTTGGGGTTGCATGAAGGTTAAACAAGTAAATAGTGTTTTCCCCATGCCTTTAGCAGTGCTGATTATCATCTTAAATGGCATAATAGTACAGCAATCAGTTTGTAGTTTAGATCTTTGCCTGGATCCAGTTTCCCATTATGAGGCTGGGTCTGCTTCGGCCAAAATGCTTCAAAAGCTCATTCTAAATGGACAGACCAGGCCCCATAAAGAATAGTAGAAGGTGAAGGTTTGGCCACTCGGTTGGGCTGGATTAGAAATAGTGGCCTGGAGGAAAAAGTGATGTAACCTCTGTTTTACTTAAAGCCTGGCATTAATCTGAGTAGAGCCAACATTCTTAGCCTCTGACTTTGAATTCCCCTAAATGTGGTTCTGGTTACACAAGATTTTATACTTTCTCCTCAAGAAAAGAGCTGAGTCAAAATTAGTATGTAATAAAACCTACTATTTATCAAAAACAAAGAAAAAAAAAGAAACCGTTGTATCCACTGCTTTGTCCCACCATTGCTGACTGAAAAAGCCACACATGGAAAATTAACCAACAGTTGTACCCACAGTTAATTGGACCCACTTCATAATTTTCAAACAAGCAACTTGTGCAGTTTAAAACAATGAATAGGAAATACTTTGTAGTTCTCCCAGTTTTACATCATCAAGTGTTCTTTAGAAATGAGATGCCAGCACTTTCCCAGACATTTCCACACAAAAAACCCAAAACTGTCCCGCTGCATCACGCTGTTGAGCCGTCATTTGTAAAACTGCTAAACTAAAGTGAACATTTTAAAGAGTCAACTATGCTGATAAATGTGCTTTTTGCCATGCTGACAACTTTCATTAAATTCTCAAGTTTGAAGAGTCAAACACAGGCACTACTGGGGGTCAGTCTGTCAAATGGCGTCCCACAGAGACTCTGCGATAGAGGGACTGGAGCTGGGCGAGGGAGGGGTAATGAGAGGGCAGATAAGGTTTGGTTCTCAAATGAACTGCTAAAAAATAAATCCTAATTATTGCCATCTTACGGACAGGACAATATTCCAAAGAAAAGCAATATTATTTGTGAACGGCTCTAGTTTCTGCAGGTTTTTGAATAACAAGCTAAAGAGATGATGTCCGTAATGGCTACCTGCAGTGCTTGGAAAAAACCAGAGTGCGCCCCCACCAAGCCCTCCATCTTTCACAGAGCTACAAACAGCTTCAGCTTCTCCTTTGGTCTGCCAGCAAAAAAAGAAAAAGAAATGAAAAAAATGAAAGAAAAATCCTCCCCGCAGTTTGAAATAAAAGGCCTGGATCAAACTAACACCAGGAGAGTTTTTCGTCCACTTTGCAACCTGCAGTTTCTGCATATTAGCCTCTTCTACTCTTGGTCCACATCCCGCAGTGAAATGAATACAAAATTGCATTAAAGTTAATGCTACATGACATTTCCCCCCTTCACAAAATTTGCCTTGCTTTTTGAAACGGTTCTTGTGGCTGTGGAAATTTTGTAAAAACCACCTGCAGGAGTGATTTACCAATTTGCTAAAGTGCACCTAAAGCAATCCGATAGCTCCATCCAACAACCTGAAACATCATGTTAACCGTGCTAATGGCAATGTTGAACATGGCATACCGGCAGTAAAAATAAATAATGCATTAATACTTTGTATTAATGGCAGAAAAGAATCACGACTCTAAAAGCATCAGACATGATGGAGACCCCCTACCTGGCAGCCCCTGTATCCACGACCCCCACTGTTTGTGTATTTTCGAACCATGGCGGCCCATTGACTGCCTCCCCCGGATTGCCAATTTCCCGCTGGTGGTCCAAGGTTTCGCCTGTCCTTTCTCAGCATTGTGCAACTGGAATCGGTGCGTCCTCCCCTGTTCACGCTGCGGTTGTAGCTCCACGATCTGATTGGACAGCGCTCAGCGAGACTTCATCAGCTGAACATCCCTGTCGTCATGACAACTTGCCAATATCCCAACAGGGGTGTGTTTGTGGAAGGGTGGGGTGGCGGGGCACGGCTGCTCTCTTGCCTCCGAACGCCTGGTACGCGACAGCGATTCATTTTACATCATCGTTACCTCACCGCTGCTCGCTTCCCCCTTCCCAGACCTAGCGGGTTAAGCTAATCTGTGTAGCATGCGATGTTGGAGAATGCATGGGCCACTGTGCTTGCCACAGTCTGTGAGTCTACAACCAGCTGTCCCATCAGGGTTTCTCAGACCAATGTCTCGCACCACAGGATGCCAAATCAGCTTAAAACGATGAGTATAATCACTATTCTGTCACATGACATTGAGAAAATGGATGGCAAACCCAAAGTGAAGCTTCTAACTCTAACCAATGAAAAAGTTTGCTTTTCTTTTCAGTCTTAAGCCTGCTCCCCATATTATGATTTCCCATCCACACACAAAGGCAAAATTACAAAGGGAACTGAAGTTTAGACAGTTTTTTGGAAACCATGGAAACTTGACACAAACTTTTGAGAAAGACATTTTACTTTCTATTCTCAAATGGCCTTTATCCTTGTATCCCAATACTTGTCACCGACATCATTCCCATGAAAATTTGAGGCCAACTTATGCCAGACTAAAAAGACTATTGTACCACTTCATCGTTCTGCTAACTCAGCATACAGTTAAGTTCAAAGAAAGTGAAACAAATCTCAGAGAATCAGGCTGGAACAGAGCAAAAGACATCAACAAAAGACAGAAAGAAGAGAGAAAAGAGGGGGAAAGTGAGAGGAAAGTAAAAGCAAGGCATTATCTTGTTGTCAGCCATGCTACCAAGAGCACAAACAGATGAATGTTTGGCGGGTGAGACACCCGCTGTGCTGCTAGCCTGCTAGCCTGCGATTAGCACCAAGCAGACGAATGGTTCCCAGGGTTCTCTCCCAGTTACCTCCTGCCGAGCTGGAGACGATGACCTTGGCCGCTGCTGGAGTTCTCCTCCCCTGCTAGGAATGAATGGCGAGCCAGGACAGAGAGCCCTAGCCTCCGTTCGCTTTTGATTGCTAATCCCCCAAACATTGTACACCACCCGGCACCCTACCTGGCCTTCTAGCCAGAGGCTGCTTGGTGGTGGCCATTGAAAGCAGGTGATGAATGGGGCAGAGCTGCTGGAAGCCAGGCTCCCTGGGTAGCAGGGAAACTCTGTAGGCCCACAAATGTGTGTGGCTCTCATCTGTTTTTGTAGATTTCTGAAGATAAAAGGATGCCCCGGATCAGTCCTTGGTGTTTAAGTCTCGTTGAGTGGATAACATTTTGCCAACTTAGCCATATGATAAAGTATCAGGGTGCTGATGAAATGTAAACACAACTATTCACAACCCTTGTAAGGGTGGAGATACCAGTCCGTGCATGCAACACATTTGCTGCCACAAACTCATTAATGAAAAAACAAACAAACAAACAAACAAACAAACAAACAACAAAACCCTAAAAGCCAACAACTGGAAAAAACAATAGCTCCTCTGCTAACCAGAGGAGCTAGCATACGTTGATCAAGTGTGGTTTGGGAGATTACGGAAACCTCTTAAAGAGATAGTATCCTTTTTTTTCCCTACCACCACCCAGCATGGGTTTGAGCCTGAATGCAAATCTATATCAGCATTTTAATGGCTCTCAGTCTTTTTATCAAGTCGCTAACAGAGCAATCTGAGCATTTCGGGAACCATTCCAGGATACAATCTATAGAAAATTTGAATGACATGCATAATAACGCAATAATTTTCCCATGGAAACTTTTCATAAATATTCCTCGGTACATAAGCTATGCATTGTATGGCATTCACCGTGACGAACAGAAGGCACCAATACAATAACACTTCTCCAATGCGGTAACACTCGATACTGCTAAATGCTAAATGTTGTTGCCCCAGTCACATGGAATTCCAAATACTGCTAAATGCATTTCGGCGGCAGCAACACAAAAAAAAGAGTAAAAAATAGAGCAATGGCACAAAGTGAAAAAATGAAAACACAAACCTTCTCATTGTAACGTCAGCAGCATGTTCACGAGAGACTGCTGGATGCCAGACTCTTAAGGGGACCGAAGCTGAATTCAATGCCTCTTGTCAGGGGAGCTTGATGTGATTATCGCCCCCTGCTAGGGCAGCGATAGTGAAGTTGTCTGGCGCTGGCAGGGACGCTCAAACAGCACTGCGGGATGCCCTCCTCGCTGTCCCACTCCAGGACCATCGCTCTGGACGCAACAGGGGGTGGGAAGCATGTGTACATGTGGATGTGTGCGTGCATGTGCGCATGTGTGAATGAACGTTGTGTTGATATTATTGTTCTGCAGGTTTTCACTCTTGTTACTGCTGCCGTTTAGTAGCAAACAGGACTTCTGAGATGGGCTCCCATCACTGAGCTAAAAACTGCTGTTCAAGGTCAAGGTGCTGCCGACTGCCCACTTCTGGGCTTTTTTCTTTTATATATATATGCCTCAGCACACAAACCAATTTTAAGATATTCCCCAGCGTGTGTACATATTTGTGTTTGCCAGAGAGTGAATAAAAATCATTGTTCAGGCCGCCTAAGGATCATTTCCCTCCCCCTCTCTTCACCGAGGAGTCCGTCCCTCCCGGCTCATATCGACAGACACACTGCTGCTTATTGATCTATGAATTTGTACAATATGATAATAACAATACGTCTTTTTTCGTGGCGGTATTGTGATGTGTCTTAATTTTTTTCCTTGTCTGTTGCATTTGTCTTTATCAAGTATTGTACCAAAGGAGTTGGATACAACATAGAATGCATCTGAACAGCAAACTGGGCCAAAAAACTCTACAAACAATGTGAGTTTTTGTTGCGCTACAACATATATGTTTGCTCAGTTCTAGGCTTGAAGGCATACATGAATTACAATAGACTTGATTAGCAAAAAATGTAAAAAGAAAAAAAAAAGCATAAATAAAAGACAGGGAAAAGAAGGCCTCGGGATAATGAAAGTTTCTCCTAAGGATATGTTTATGCATGCAGAAAGGAACACGAGTACAACAGCAGGCATAAAAAGATGAAATCTTGCAGCACAAACATGCGACACAGCAACAAAGATGACAGGTTTGATGGGGTGATGCATATGTGATTTGACCACCCAGGCACGAGATCAAGACTGCACTGCCTTTTGGGTTATCAGGGCATTTCAGTAAATTTCCCCACATTGTACCACCCAGCCCCCCTTTGCTTTCTGTGCTGTCCCCCTGGAGGCAAAGGGGGTAAAATAAGACTTCAAAGCAACTCCAAAATAGTCCTGACACAAACTCATTTCCTCATGTTACATGAAGGGGGCTGGCAGACTCGCTAGACTGTTCTGACTCTGGTATGTCTCAGCCTCCTGCTCTGTGCTACCTCATAACAAGCAGCGGTGACAGAATGCCATTTTGACAGCGATTATGGATAGTCTGACATAGACTTAAAAGGAGCCAGATGGGGGTAGAATTTACAAGAGCCTATCTGTGGGTCATGCTGGGCTCAGATGAGATGAGGAAATGGGAGCTCATTTAAGGGGATGCTATTAGCAGCGAGGGACCACAAATGACTGCAACTTGGAACTTTATTAAGACAAAGCAGCAAAGTTTAGGACAGCCTGCACATTTAGGCTGTAAAATTGCTATTCTTGACATTTTGACCACGGAGTTAAGGAAGATCAGAGGAGCTGTGTTTGTACTAAAAACATGGGTTAAAGGGTCAGTTCACCAAAAAAAAAAAAGAAAAAGAAAAAAATGGCTTACATCTAGTGGTATACAGCAGTGCAGGTATTTCATGTCTGCTTTTAAAACTTGTTTTGTCAAAGCTCCTGGTATGACACACAAATTGGGACGGGACACAAACTACGAGGCAAACAAACCTTTGGCGCGTGCCACGCTTCCAGCTTTAAATTGTTATATTTTCCAATATTGGTGCAGTTTGTGCATCGAAGGAGTGATGGCAAATCACACCCTTGACAGAATAGAATGCATTTGGTTCAGAAACTACAGTCATTATATTACCCTACATCTCTCTGTCGCGCAGTCAAAAAAATAAACATAGATAAACATTTCAACAATTTTAAAGTAGAAGGCTAGCAACATGTGACAGAATGACAATATTTGAAACCCTAGGGTGAGAAAGGGGTTAAACATAATTGTATTTCTTCACTATGTGAAGTTCATGTTTGCCGCATACTGAACTGAAGCATGATGAGCGCTGCAGTGAGCGTGAGGGATGGGATAAGATACATTATTCACTTAAAATCTGAATGTATTTACTACATTCCATTCTGGTAATCCATTTAAAATTATTAAAAGGATAAAAGCAAGGATATATGACGACGTGTGCCTGTGAGTATGGACATGACCCAAAAAGCTGCGCAGATTTACACAGCCCTGAACTTAACTTGGCTGAAATTCAAGAATTTGACACACTTATTGCTAAGAAATTATAAACTGGCTTCAGATCTGAAGTATCATTTGGAAAGATACTGCCCTCGCTGGAGCTCTTCCCATCAAAAAGACTTTTCCATTTTAAAGTTTCTGAATGTTTTTCCTCCTTTTCTCCCCAAGTCTGTGGTGTGATAGAACCGATAAATGTTATTTTATCAGACATTTGATGGTTAGAAAAGCATCTGCAGGCTGCAAATGGTAGGAAATGGCATTATTTGGCCAATGGGTATCAAAAATATGACTGTTCATCGGTTGATGAATTTTATCCCGGGGTGGGGGGCAGGGGTGGGGGGGGGGGGGGGAGAGGGGGGCACTGAGGTAATAGTTAGAACTGGATTTTAATAAGGGGTTTTTCCATCAAAAGAAGCAATTTTCCCAAACAATAGAGCTACTTTCTACATTACACCGAATCATTACAGAGTCATCTGCATGATATATTTCAATCATAGAGAAAATGAGCTAAGATTATTAATCAAGATTGGGCGATATTAATATTAGATAAGTCCAGGATGTAATATAGCTTGTATAATGAACCTGGGTAAATTCATAAGCCCATAATTGGTGCAGGCATTAAGTCTCCTCTGGAAATTGATATTGTCACATTACCATCAACGGCATCACCTCCAATTCTAGCTCCCGGACATAAACCCAGACCTATGCATTCTTCTTCTATTTGCCAAAATGAAATAAAGTTCATAAAAGTATGATTCATACAGTTCAACAACATAAAATAATGATTGATAAATAAATGCGTGTAGAAAAATGGATCGCAAATTTCAGGCGGGCGGAACAGAGACTCACTACATCACTCCACACTAAATTTAGATTCTATGAAAGCTATTGGCTTTTTTATTGCTTGAGGATACATTGATTTTTCTCTTTGATTGTGTTTTCCACAGACGCAGGAAGAGGAAAGGCAGCTTCAAACTGATGCGTGGATAGCACAGACATTTCCATGAAGAAAGGATCCAAAAACAGATACCTGGCAGGATGGAGCAACCAAGGACACGCGGTGAAAAGCTGCAGTGTTAGAGGAGTGACACAAACCTGTTGAGCGACTCTTCCTCCCTCCTGCTCGGCTGCTGGGAGGAGGACACTTGTTTCTCGCACGGAGGGATTTTTGATCTTTTTGCATTGGCATCCACTTCCTCCATCTACAAAGGCCATGAAAGGGAATGAGTAATTCCTCTATCTGTGTGTACGTGAGTGTGTGACTGTGCGTGTGTGGATGCTTGACCTATTTCTGCTGCACTGACATGAGGCTGGCATTTCTGCCTCACAAGTACAAATGGAGACATGGGCACAAGGTGGTTGTTGAAAGAGCTAATGTTTTAGCTCATGTGAAAGCATAAAATATGTGCGGAAGAGCATACATTTTTATCAACGTCATTCAAACTGTAACATTTCCTGGAAATATACATGCCCCGATAGGCTGGCTTCTTCCTGTCACGCACATGAAATGTGTGTTTGCAGCTGTAAGCGGTATGAATATTTTGTTTTCTGCGGTGGTACTGAACACTTGGAACACTTCAACAAAACCCACACAAACAGTTAAAATACAATAAAGCTAACAAAACGTAATCACCAGCCTGTCAGCAGTTGGGAACAAAGCTAAACAATCTCAGGTTCAAGTCATTATTGTTTAAGGGCTCTAACTCTAAGGCTTCGTCCACACGTACATGGGTATTTTTGTAAACAGAGATTTTCCGTTTTCATTTAAAAAAAACATCCCATCCACATGTAAACACAAAAAACGCTGTCAAGAACATGCCAAAGCAACAGGTGGCGATATAATCCTAACTGTGAAGAAATATTGGCCAATCAGAAGCCTTGAAGCCTGGGAGGGAAAGAGTAAACAAAGATGGTGCATAGAAGCAGTCTTTCTACAGTGGGGCAAAAAAGTATTTAGTCAGCCACCGATTGTGCAAGTTCCCCCACTTAAAATGATGACAGAGGTCAGTAATTTGCACCAGAGGTACACTTCAACTGTGAGAGACAGAATGTGAAAAAAAAAATCCATGAATTCACATGGTAGGATTTGTAAAGAATTTATTTGTAAATCAGGGTGGAAAATAAGTATTTGGTCAATAACAAAAATACAACTCAATACTTTGTAACATAACCTTTGTTGGCAATAACAGAGGTCAAACGTTTACTATAGGTCTTTACCAGGTTTGCACACAGAGTAGCTGGTATTTTGGCCCATTCCTCCATGCAGATCTTCTCGAGAGCAGTGATGTTTTGGGGCTGTCGCCGAGCAACACGGACTTCCAACTCCCGCCACAGATTTTCTATGGGGTTGAGGTCTGGAGACTGGCTAGGCCACTCCAGGACTTTCAAATGCTTCTTACGGAGCCACTCCTTTGTTGCCCGGGCGGTGTGTTTTGGATCATTGTCATGTTGGAAGACCCAGCCTCGTTTCATCTTCAAAGTTCTCACTGATGGAAGGAGGTTTTGGCTCAAAATCTCACGATACATGGCCCCATTCATTCTGTCCTTAACACGGATCAGTCGTCCTGTCTCCTTGGCAGAAAAACAGCCCCATAGCATGATGTTTCCACCCCCATGCTTCACAGTAGGTATGGTGTTCTTGGGATGCAACTCGGTATTCTTCTTCCTCCAAACACGACGAGTTGAGTTTATATCAAAAAGTTCTACTTTGGTTT